TAWTWAWTAAAWWRAATGAATGAATGAATGAATGAATGAATCAAAAGTCAACTCTTTAGATATTTCTGTTTCTGGTGGTATTTTTTATTTTTGTGAATATGATAACTCGGTATTGGGCCAAAAAAAAAAAAAAAGGACTTTACATAAAAGTCCAGTAATGCTTGTTGGATTCAATTAAAAACCCACAGGCAAAGATAACATTGACATGGACACAAATTATAGACATAGATTTACTGATAAGTTTGAAAAATKGAGCAAATAGTTGCATCTTAAAGCATGAAGGAAAGAACATTTTATATGGTRAGGGATGCCAGGAGAGTTGGGATGAGAAGAGAGTCTCCATGATTGAGGTTTTTCTTCTGGGTTGTGATGTTACCACTATTATTGTGAAAAGTTGACCTTTTTTTTTTTTTTTTGCCTTTGGTTCTTATACTGAAGATTTTCAGGTATCTATAGGACTTATTTATTAGAAGAAACGTAGAATTTTCTCCTGCTATACCAAATTAATCTCTTTTAAAGATAGTTATCTCTGTGGTTAATATTCAAAAACAGTAATATTATTTTTTCCAAGGATGAAAAGAGAATGATAATCTGGTACAACATTATACAGATTCCTATTTTTGAATAGTTAATTTAGAACAAAATAATTACCAAAAAGTYATTTGGAGCCCTGGATTTTAAAAGTGTTAAGTTTTTAAACTTGGTAGTTGGTCCTTCTCAGTAGAAGTAGGTGTTGGGCCCTAATGGAAGCTGTTTGATTTAAATAGCAGTGATTTGTTATGTATATTTAAGTGTTCACTGGTAGAGGGGCTAGCTTTTGCACACACAAGCATGTATGTATTTTCAGCAGTCATACTTAAAAATCACACACACGCATACATACACACAGCTGCATTTATTTTAATGATTATGCATTCATATGAATGCATGTAGTGTGTTTATTTCAAAGTGTATGCATTTCAATAAAAGCAGGTGCAGAGTGAGTATGGTGTGAGTGTGGAGTACGAAAATACACATGCTAATGCATATGTATAGAAGAGGAGCTCTGCAGAGTTAAATCACACATCACACACTTGTGTGCACTTATTACAATGTGCAATTCCAACTTCAGGTTTTAAAAAAAATTAATGTAAAATATGTACATAAAATGTAAAGTTACATAGTTGGATAAAGATATTGTACTCCATAAACAGTATGTTGAGATATTAATATAATAGCATGGTTATGAATTGAGAATCATTTTAGTCACTGACACCTCTGAATGACTTTAAAAGCTTTGATTTCATGTTTCAACTCTTAATTGAAAAWTTTTTCATCATCTTAATAGGGTTTCCCAAATTAAAACATCATCTTCTCTTAAAACTTTCAAACATAACTATTTTTTTATACATAACTATTTTTTTAAAGTCTGTCTTTTCTGAAAATTTATGATGAAATTTATAAAATTACTTGTTCTAAGGAATTTCCTTCCTTCTGAATTGATGGGCATATGTTCTTTAATTGCTATTGAAGACACCRGCTTTTAGCATGTCATTCATACAGTTATGCCTACTTGATGTCTTTTTAATGGAAACCAATGGCTAAAAGTCATTGCCACAGCTTCTGTATTGATACTTTTCAATTCACCTCTCTGTAATATTGCTATTTAAAGGTTGTGATACAAGAAAATACATTCTTTAATATCCCCCTTTTTTAAAAAAAAATAAAACCGAGTTTCACTGTGATCCCACTCTGTGGCTTTTTTTCCCTCTTTTCTCCTACTTCTCTGGTCTTTGGCACACTTTATTTTCCAGTAAAATAAAGAATGAAGATGGATTATYCAAAACTGATAACAGTAATGGACCATCATGTAATGTTTTATTGAATTTGAGTTCTGTAAATTATGTGGTGGAGAGAAATTTGCCTGCTTAAGTATAACAGAAATTGCTACTGTGTTCCTATAATTCTTCACAGTGTAATTTAAGAAAAGTCCACTATCCATGTCACTATTGAATAAAAGGTAAAAAGGTGCTATTACCCCAACGTGACAGCTCTCAATTAGCCTACCTAAGGACAGAGATAAATGCGTCTACTTATAACTTACTTGGCATGAGTCCCAAGGAGTGGGTGGAGTTTGAAAATACTCTTTCACCTGGACATGTGATTAAAAATTCACCAAGGGAYAGAGATAGGTAGGCTTGAAGACTATTCTATGTATTTTCTTTTTAGGAGGGAGGTTTCATAAAATCATATTTTCTTTCTGAGGGCTTTGAAGTTCCATGAAGCTGATAAAATCTATTTGAATCAGTGATTATGTTCAAAGAGGAGACAAACGGGAGGCCAGACAGGCTTTTTGTTCAGATTGGCAGTCTCTTTTGCTTATCTACTGTTTTAAAGAATTCATAATTAGCTTTTGGAAGTACTGATAATATTTATTGAAGTTTTTTTTCTTTCTCTTACAATTACTAATGAATTTTACTCGTAATAACTTGTAAACTCTTGTTGGAATGTAAAAAAACAAAGGTTTAGGAATTCAGTAAATTCATTCTTTAATTGAAAAAAAAAAGCATTCTTACTTAACCACTATGTAATGACAATGTGGAATAATTTTTATGTTTTCATATATAGAGCACACATCTAATTATTTGTAAGATATGAAGTCCCAATGAAAGGCAGCTTCTCATTTCCAATAAAATTAATATTCATGAGGTGCTGGTAACTTCCTACATAAGATATAAGTCCTCTAGTTCTTTTTAGAACAAGAAATAAGCTAATAATTTTGTTTAGTTTAACAGATTTATTGAGCATCTAAGATGCAAAATATTGATGATATGATATATGCACAATATTGATGATAATTACTAACGTAATGATGGCCTTTACATACTCTTGGTGGTGTTATTGTTGTTGTTAGTATGAAGAAGGATTTTTTGGTAAGATTCCTCTGTCAACCATGAGGAATTACTACAAATTACGTGACCTAGCTTGGCAAGTCTGTACTGTATTATATTCAACTATAGAAAATGGGAAGTGGACGTCACATACATCTTGAATCCTTAAATGCAAGTATTCAAAAAACAGTGACCTAAATAGGATCAAAATGTRCATTCCCTGCTAGTAGGGTTCTGATAGTAATCATTTTGCATCCAGAAGTATTCTAAAGTGACTTTTTTWTTTTTTAATTAACACTAATCAAATGTTTTCTCACAATATTTTCAAGCATTTCCACCAGGGGGCACTCCCCTCATTGAAAGCTCTGGGCCAAAAAAAAAAAAAAAAAAAAGATTTCTAAAATACAGGAGATTGTCCACACTGGCCACTTTAGAGCTCTTGGAGTGTTCCAGGGTTTGAAACATTGCTTCAGACCATCAGCAAACTCCAGGCAGAAAAACTGTACTTGTTCCAGTAGGACAATTAATTTAAGTGGAAATAAAATGCTTTGTTCCTGCAATACTTTCATGCTTAAATGGGAAGGCATGCCAGTATCAAAATATGGACAATAAGTAGAAAACTTTCTAAATCCTCTTGCCAGTGACACACTATCTCCTCCTCTAAGTCATACCGGCATGACTTTGTCTCACATTAACAAGACTTGAGAGAACAGTATTTATTTTTTCATTTGTTTGATTTTCTCACTGTAGTTTTCTGCTTCTTTGGGAAACATTGGCAGTAGAAATATGTGATCTATTACCTTGTTATTTAAGATTTTAAAATGTCTAATTTCAAGTTTCTGAAATAGAAAAGTATTCTCAATACTTACAGGATACCTTTTGCCCCATTCTACTTTTTTTTAATTATTAAAGTATTAGTATAAATAAACATCTCACAAAGTGTTATATAACTTTTCAATGAAGGCACACCCAGAGTGCTATAACAATTACTATTAGAATTTACAYCTGGGTGGCATATCTTCTTCACATTTCTATTATATTTGCAGTCTTTTTTCCTTTTTTTTTTTTGTTTTGCAATCTGTATAAACATAATTATTAGGTTTAATAAATATCAAACCCTTATGTGGTAGGTATTATGTTGAGATGACCAAAATGAATATTGTTCTGAAGGAATTTATGACATGTCTGCAGAACATTTGCATCTCTCTCTCTGTTTCTGTGCCATTGATATTCATTGCTTTGCCAAGCACATTTAAAAATACATAACGTTTGAGGGGGAGGGGTATTGAGCAAGGGCTATTTTATTACACTTATTGGGGTTTTTTCTTTTTTTCCTTGTGACCTGTATGTTTTGATTTCAATATGACATATCAGAAGCACAGTCAATCTAATTAGTTGGCCTTGTGCAAATTAAATAGCTGGTGATTGCCTGTTTGAATTTTAGTTAAATTAACTGCCTGTTTTGCTCTTATGTGGAGTTGTGGCACTGCTCTGTAGTATCATGACCCCAGGGACGTGTGCCCTTCATTCCTTATTCACATTTCTTATGGTGAAACTGAAAGTTCACGTCCAGTTACTAGGTTCTGGTTGCAGTAGACCAGTTGAGAGATTTCCTTAAAGTTAACTCTTTAGCCTCCCCAAATATGTCAAAGTTTTATTTTAAAATACCAGCTTATAAATCATTTTAAAAGTGGACAGTGCTTTTATACTACCTATACCCAAATGTTATATTTAGGCAGGGTGGTACATTATCTTTAGGAATTAGAAATAAAACAAGGTTTGTATTTCTAAGAAAATATATTTTTTTAAAAAATACCTTCAATGTTATAGCCTTGGGCTCTATCATTTTGATAAGACACTTTCTACAAGGTTATTGCAAAGTGGATTTGCAAATTATATAGAACTCTTGTTGAAATTTTATTCTGAGATATATTATGAGAAACCGAGTTTCTGGCTAAGTGAAGAAAACATACTATTCCAAGTATTAGTCTATGTACAAGATTGAAGAGACAAGGGCTGCTCAGCTCTTACAAAATGGCCAGAAAAAATTTCCAATACTTTTGTTGTTTGTTATCCCTTAAGCATATTGCAAAAGACGACCACATTTTTTTTAAAGAAGTCCTTTCAAAAGTTAAAAAAAAATTCGTTGAAAAATAATGCTGTATTATTTGGGGAAGAAAGGCTCCTAAGAGGAGTTATCTGGTGGTTTATAAATTTCTTGTGTCACTGGTAATTATTTTTATTAACTAAGAAGTTTGATAATTACAGAACTTGAGATTATTCTTTTCCTGGGTATGCTATGATGGATTTTTGCAATGTGGGAAAATGGTTATTGCAGGTTTTACCTGTGGTTTCCAAAGTTCAAAAATTCAACCTGTTACCCAGTAGATTAGCATAGCAAGATGGTACTTAGAATCCTTTGGGGATAGTCTGTGGTTTCCTTTAAATGGCAAATTGAAAGGGCCACCTGGTGTCATTAACTTTGATGATTTGAAGATTAAGAAGTATGTTAAATATTGCTTGTGAAAATACAGTATAAACCTTAAGAGAAGCTTTAGTAATATTTCTTTTTTTTTCCCCCTGATAGGTCACAGTTAATTTTCTTCAAAAGTTTTACTTAACTGCCCTAGAAATGGCTTTGTATCTTTACATATGGAGCTTGTTGGCATTCCACTGCCTTTGTCTAGGCAGCTTGAGAACTATACAGTTCACTGCTATTGTATTATGAGGATTTCATTTATTCTTAACTTCCCTCCATCGTCTCTCTGTGAAAGATTTCATGGCAAGTTAAGCTACTCAAAGGAAGGAGACCAATTAGGCAGTTTCAGTTTATGTTATATGTAAAGCAGATGCTTAATAAAATTAAGAATACAATTGAGGCTCTCTTCTCCACCACTTCAGTTGTAACTAATGTATTCCCATGTAGAATTCATGCCTCTGACGGTTCACTTTCCAAACCCAGTGGAGAAGGAGGGGGGAGGATCCTCTCTGGCTGGACGGAGCACACCAGGGAGCAGGCTCACCCTCTGCCTTTTATTCCCTACAGGGCTTGCTTTCAGAAATCCTCCGGAAGGAAGAGGACCCCAAGACTGCATCCCAGTCTTTGCTGGTAAACCTTCGGGCTATGCAGAATTTCTTGCAGTTACCAGAAGCAGAAAGGGACCGAATATACCAGGATGAAAGGGAAAGGAGYTTGAACGCTGCCTCCGCCATGGGTCCTGCGCCCCTGATAAGCACACCACCCAGCCGCCCTCCCCAGGTGCCATCTCCTCTTCTTTGCCACTCTTTTTTCCCCTCTTTCCTCTTTTTTAATGTTTAAGGAARAATCTCAAGAAATCAGGTAGCTGGCTAGCTAGGTTTTTGTTTCGTTTTTTAAATTTCGTAGAGATTCTTGAAATTTAGTCCCGAATTACTAATTCTTACATAAAAACAATAAGCTACTAATTAGAGGAAAGAAAATTGCTTTGTGTTGCTCCATTCTCTGGGTTCTCTTAGGGTGAAAAGGAGTCATGAAGTGGGATATCTGTCTCCACTACCAAAATACTTCTTCACTTAAGAAGTATTTTAAACTCAATAGAAAAAAAAAAGGATAAAGTCAGTTTTATCCCTACCAGTTTTAGAACTGCCATTTGAATAGTAAATAAATAAAAATAAATAAGTAATTCCATTTGTATTTATGCTCTCCAATACGAACTGCAGCTGGTACCAATTACACATCATCTCATTTGTAATCTTTCATAATTAAGTTTAATACCATCCTCGAAGGCAGCTTTAAATGGGGCTGATAAGGAATTCCATCTATATTCCCAGAAATGGGCACATTTTCAGTTTTTTCCAAATTTCTCCACTTTTTTTAATGGAAGGAAAAAAGTCACCTTTTCSGTAACTTTATGTGTATGTACATCTGTATTATGATTTTTGAAATCGGGTTTCAAAAGTAGCCTCATAACTATTATGAGAATTCAAGAAGTTAATTTTCAGTTCAAACCATTAGGTAAAAGTTTGATAGTGGATTAGACTCAAACTTCACAAGCAGATGTATTTTCTTACATTGTTTAAGGTCAACTAAACATGTTTAATGTGTTTAAATAAGGTCAGCTTYGATGGATAAAAATTGAATGTGGAATACAGATTCAAAGTATTCACATAACACAATGTCATCATGAAATTAACTATCTTCATCAATAGTAAAAAGAAAAGCTCGTATTTCCAAGGACAGAAATCTAGAGAAAGCCTATTCAGCACTAAAGAATGAAACTGCTACAGAAATTCCACAAATGAGGAATAGACATAATATTCAACCACTGTTGAGGGTCTGAAAGTGTTTATCATAATGTTCAGAAACGATGACTTTTTAGAAATGTCAACAAAATCTATTTTCTCCATTTTATTTAATGAAAATGGTRTTGATGTCTATATGAGCAAATTATAAGGAAGCCGTTGTTGTACTTGTGAATAAAAACTTCATGTTTCTCTGGGAGAGAAGAATGGTAGCTCCATACATACCTGCCTGCCTACATACACACAGTAATGGAGTTTGGTCTATAGATCCTTCTATAAAAATATTTCCTAAAATATAAAGAATGAATGAATTTTTTTATTYACTTTTTGTAAGAGTGATGGAACAAAAAAAAAAGTATTTTACCTGGGACTTGGTTTTWCACTTTTTTTGTTGTTGTTTTTGGCAGTACTTAAGAGTTAATACACTTTGGTCAGTTTTGTTCCTCTAGTTAACACTAGCCAGCTTCTGGGYAGAAAGTTAATTTGCTTATCACCCCATTGGCAGTACTCATAAAAGAATGACTTACCCAAGACCAATGTGCATTTCAACACTGAGCATCTTTTTAAAAACTCTGCCCAAATATTTAACTTAATGATTCCTTAATACACAAATTCAAAATATTCTTTTGTAAACTTCTGATTTTTCTAGGATTTTGARGGTTTCCATTGCTTTTCAAATGGGATTATGCTATCAATATKCATTAGCCAAAGTTTCTCTGTAGCCAAARTTACACTAATTTTTATTAAGTGATACTTCTTTTCACATATGCTTAAGATACAATGGGGATAGTTTTCCCATCTGTATGTATAAAGACATTGTTTTCTGTGGTAAGTTGGGATAGAAAAAAAAATATAATTTCTTTTGATGTGAATTACTGATTACTTAGTTGAGATACCCTTACCTGCATTTGTTTGTTCTCAAGAAAGGTGGAGATCAAACCAAAGTATGTAGATACTACTAATTATTCCTAGTGGAATTTTTTCAAAAAAAWATATGTTTTTATTAATGCAGTATTATTGGCAATCTAACCAAATTCTGAAATGATTATCTGATATATGTACATATGTTCCATTTTATTTCATAGCTATAACGTGAATCTTTAAGGTATGCTGTTTTCCTCAGGGAGAATCCTTTTGCATTACTTAATGTTATTGTAATAAAACTCACTACMAATGTGTTCACATTTTACCCTTTAACGGTGATTCAGTGAATTAAATTTTAAGATATTCTTGACATATTAAAGGAATTATTACTGCAAAATGAATACTTTGGATTTGGGGAAAACATGCTAAGTTGAAATCGAATGCTTAAGCTGGAACCAATAGACCACACAAATAAAAGTGGTTTTAAAAATATGCTAATTACAAGTGACTAAAATGGAAAGAACAAAATGGAGGAAACCACAGATACACAAACAGATTACAAGACTGTGCCTTCTTTAATTATATATTTTGCTGGAGAAGAGTTTGTGTGAAATCACCATACATTTCATTTCCCCTAAAATGAAGAGATTTGAAACAAATCTTTGACTTGAGTTGATTGACCTGAACTCTGATTTCTTTCTATAAAGAATTGTGAGTCAAAGGGAGAGAGGCCCTTAGTGACTCAGGGAAGGCCCAGACTACCTGTAGGCCTGAAAAACTGATTGTCTGCAGCTCTTTGTAAGGTATAGGTCACACCTGAACCTGACTTTGGAATGCCCTTAGGCAGGACCCGATCAAACAAGMGAACTCTTGGGGTATTTGAATTCTAAGTTATCTTCAAGGAGGGATTGCTCTGGCTAGGGGAATCCAAATAGCTTCTAGGAGTACCCCACCTGAGAAGACTTAGATCCGACTCAAGAAMCAACAGAGCTCTTGACTGGCCCTGCCCAGGTTCAGGCCCTCCTCTGCACACCTGTCCCTTGTCCTCCAATGGCAGCAACCTTGCCATGGGCTTTGCCCTCTGCCTGTGGCAGTAACCTCTGGGCCAGACATGTTTGCTGAAAGCATTTTTTCACAATTTCCATGCTTTAATTCAAGGAGTAAGAATACCGTGCACTTGATAATGGTTCACAGTTTTCTAAGCACCTTCATATACATTAATTCATGAAATCCTCAAATCAGCCTTTTGCTAGGAGAAAAAGGAGAAACCCAAGTGTAAGGTTTAATTAAAGTTTTCAAATGCCCTATGAAGTCTCATCCTTTCCTCTGCTGCAAGCCACCTCCTCAAAATACAAACAAACTTATGTAAGAAAGGGGAAAATGGAACTTGAGGGCTCTGTTTTGTCCTAGGGGATGAGAAGGTGTATTGTTAGATTAGGAAGAGGAACACATGTGAAAACATTGTTCTGGGAAAATAAATGAGATATTTGACAAATGATCCACATGGGAAAACTTTGAATAATGTCATTTCTGGGATTATGAAGATAGTACCCCTTCCAAACTATGGTCATAAGAMAATACCTGGGAGAACCCAGTCCCCTCAAAGTTTCCTGGTCCTAAAGGTTTCTTTTCTGACTRTGCTTTACAGATTTTCCTAATGAGTTTATTAGAGGAAGTTTATTAATAATAATTAATGATTATTTTCTCAGAATGATTTGTTCTACTGAACAGATTARTTTTAAGTTGATGATTTCTACCTTAGGTATGATTATTCTGGTTTTATTTGTGTAATTTTATACATGTGAGTTTTGGAGTTAAATTAATTTTGCAGTTTTATTTTCCATAAGGATGGTTTGAAAGTATATAATTATCAAGTTATAACTAGTATATGAATTATATATTTTTTTTCTTTTTTTTTAACATTTCATGTAATTCTTTAGCTTATCAAGTAAGGTATGATATTTCATAACAGTGCTTCTAGAAAATGATCAAAGTTCATATAAGGAATATATAATTAACCTGGTAGCTACACCACTAGCATTTCTTTACAACAAATACCTCTCAAATATAATGAAACATACGTTCATCTTAATTTCAGGTTCCATTACAGGTATGAACTTAACACTTGATAAAAGTTTTATTTGTTATGGATCCCTTGGGAAACATTAAGATCCTACTTAGGTGCTTATAAAATGCTTCTCATCAATAGTCATCTTTAAAAAAGCTATAAGTCTTCAAAAGTCTGTTTGGAAAGTAATTAGCATTGTTCCTATGAAAGAAAAAGAGTCCAAAAAGATCAAAACATGATACCAAAGACAGTATTAATATAAAAAATATGAGTGTGAGGACTATTTTCCRGCACTAATAAGCATGCTACAGGATAGCATGTTTCTGACACAGGATTACTAAGAAAACATTTGTAGTTTGAATATCTTAGAAAATAAATTCAAGTTGGATTTTGAACATTACKTTTTTAAACCCATGAGCTTCTGAAACTCAAACGTTAATGAGCTAGATTTAGCAAATGCCCATCAAAAAGCAGGCCCCACATCTAATAAGTTAAGGATTTTTCAAAGTAAAGAAAGCCCAAGAGCAACACGGACTCTCTATATAACTCCATAGTCTCTAAGATAAGCACTTACGCCAGACAAACATAAGATTTCATCCTTGAGCTGTGGACAAATCACTTAACSTCTGTTAAAATAGAATTTTTTCAATTTTAAAATGGGGTGATCCTAATACCTATGCTGGTCTGTTATATAGGTTAAGCAGTTAAGATATATTAACAGAATGCCCAGCACATAATAACTGACTAATAAATGTCCCCAGCCATTATTATCGTAATTATTARAAGTACATAAAACTTTAACTTTTGTGTATGTGAGAGCTAAASTGCTTGCAGGCAGTTCCTCACGCATCAAAGAGCAGTAGCACTTTCACCAGTCAAGACCAAAGTAGAGTTCATTTTGTGCAAAGTATGATTCGCGGGTTTAAGCACGGTAAAATTTTCRTGGAAAATTTGTGTTCTATATGATTTTAGTACAATAAAAAGCAGACCTTAGTACTGCACCCTGTCCCCACCAGGGAGGGTAAATAGTAGAAGCTCCCATTCTTAACTACTTCCCTGGCGCCGCTGTAATAATGGAGTAGTACACGCTACCTTGATAAAAGCTATTCAGAAGGCAACTGCATTTATTTCACCTCCTGTGCTATTTGCGGAGAAGAGCTGAAGAGTAGTTTGTTTTGCCTGGAATGAACTACTTTATGAATTTTAATGTGTGATATAATATTAAAAGCTAAACCAGGATTAAAGAAGATTTTTTTTTTTTTGTACTGAGCTAAAATAGTACTTAGTAGAGTGAGGTATAAAAGATTTTTGTTTCCATTTTTACCTGGGGAGAAATTCAGCCTTCATATTTTGAAAAGCTGTCCAACTCAGTTCCCCTTCAGCAATAGCTTCTGTTTGGGGGGAAAAATTATGATTCCAGAATTCTAATAGCTTATCTATGATAAGATACATATCTGGGCCAACAAGAAGTTAAAAAAGATCTCTTCTAAATATTTTTTAAATAAGTAATACAGAGACTTTCTAACTTTATATTTTTTATAAAGTTTTAAYCTCACATTCTTTTTATAAACAATGTTTCGAATGTACTTGTTKTATATGTTTGTTTTGATTTGATTGTGTTGGCTGTTAGGAAATGATTATTTGATTTTTTTAAAAAATAATTTTGAAATCTTGCAATTTCTAACAATTTTTAACAATTTTTAGTGCAAGTTGTAACCACTTTATAAAAAGTGCATTAACCCAAGAAATTTTTAGAAACAGTATATTACAGGTTTGAAGTAAAATGATTATAGCCCACTTCAAAGACAAATTCTCAAGTGTAATTTTTACAAAAGAATGAAAATTATTTTAAAAACAAACCAAAACACTGATTCCAAAGCCTGCTCTTCCTAACTATTGCTAACCAGATTGCTACTAAGAAACCGTTTCTTCGTAGGCACTGGACTTTGTGCCCCCACTTCTATAACATCCAATTTTCAAAGCAATTGAAATGGCTTTTCTTTCCTCTTTCATTTAAGCAGTGAGAAAAATAGGTATTAAAAGGGACCCTGTGGGTTGCCTAAACCTTATCCCTCTGCCTCAAAGCAAGACCACCCCAGAGCAAAGTTTTGAATCTCACCAAAGCAACTTTGTAAGCAATTTATGGTAATGCGTTAACTCTTCTAGCTCCTAAAGTGGTGTTTAGCAGATTATTGCTTCAAAGCCTTGTGTGCTTTCTTGGAGGCCTCTAGTCGTTAATGRACCTCTATGAGGGCCCTTGCTTACCATAAGTCCCAGAGTTGGAAAGGGGACTCTGGAGACCCAGCCTGGACTCATGCTGTTCTGTTTCCAGGTAATAGTTGAAAGGTGGCAGTGAGGCCCAGGCAGTGGGTCACCTGTTCTGCCTCACCAGCTGTGTTCTCTTCATGCCTGTTGTCCAGCCTTTTCACACCCTTATCCTTTCCATGCCTAGAGGAAGTAATGTCATGGTGGAAGAATCTACCTCCTCAAGAAAAGTCATAGGTGAATTATTTTGTAAACAGGCTAGAAGTTAGGAGGATTCAGAAAGCACATTTTATACACCAATTTAAAAAAAATGTGAAAAAAAAGTACATTTCAGAGGGTACTTATATTTAGTTCCTTGAGAAGTAAATATCCGGGGATGACCTCTATTCCTCTTTTCATGCCAAATATTTTGGTGATCTGGTAATAGAAACCTGGAAGTCTTACAGGTTGACTAGAGATGTGTGTCATTCAAAGCCAAAAAAAAAAAAAAAAAAAAAATTTAAAAAATCATCCATTTATCCTAAAATATACTTCATTTTATATTTTCCATAGTATATGTGAGAATTTGTTCAAGATGGCATGAATTTAGAGGATAGAAACCTGGGTTCTGTAAAGAACACTGAGAAGTGAGATCTTTGATTGTTTGGTTGGGAGAAAACATGGTTCTACATCTGTARGAATTTTTTGCTTTATATTTTCAGTGAAAATTCAGCTGCATAATTCGTATGTAAAGTTTCAAAGCTGGTTCATGTAACCACATAAGAAAATTTGGAGTTAGAAAAACAGTCCTGTCAATAAATTTTGAGGTTGGGATTTGATTTTTCTCCCTAAAATTGTGTGGCATTTTTTTCCGGCTGATACCTGTTTATCATTATTATCTGAGGCACTGATACAAGTTTTTTCACTGTACTAATGTATTTGTGAAGTCACTGATTATATATTTTGTGTAACTTACAGTAATGTTCTGTGAAATGTTGTGAAACATTTTCTTATTGTCTAGTTCCACAAGTCAAAAGGAAATAGTTATATACAAGGGTGCCAGGAAAAGATGAAATAATTACACAGAACAGCTTGGACATGCACGTGTGAAATGCAACCAGCCTTTATGATAATTAAGCAAGGCACTCTACCTGTTTCATGGATGGATAGAAGATTTAAATATGCAGTTCTGCAAATGGCTTTGTTATGGAAGATTTTTTAAATGAAACATAAGAGGAAAAGGCATAAAGAAGAATCTAAAATTAAAAAGGCCATAGTATAWAATAGCTATTAGTGATGCAGTTGTCTATTAGGCATCGGGTACGCAGTGAAGATACCGCAATGTGCATTATGATTTTAATTGTGAATTTCCTTTGTTAGGATTGCAATGGAAGGTAATTGGGAGACAATTAGTTTAGGGGTTTCAAGTCTTTGAAACTATTCTGTTTTCCAGCAAACTTACTTTATGGCATTATAATTCCTGGTTGTCAGCTGGCAGTTGCTGTCACATTACAGATGCAATCACCTGTGACAATGTGACTTCCTTAACTTAAGCAATCTGATCTCAGGGCAATAACTAATGTTGAATGACTGCACTGTTGATCACCTTGATCATAAAAGGAGCAACAGTGTCCAGTTTGGATGCCGAGCCTGAGATGCTTCAAAACAATTTGGCCAATGAAAAATGACAGCCATGTTCAAAATGTTTTGTAGGTGAAAACAGCTACTATTGCCACTGAGAGGAATGGGAAACCAGAGAACAATACCATGAACATTAATGCTTCCATTTATGATGAGATTCAGCAGGAAATGAAGCGCGCTAAAGTGTCCCAAGCACTGTTTGCAAAGGTTGCGGCAACCAAAAGCCAGGTAAGAGCCTCTATTAGGCATTGAGAATGTTTGTCTGTGATGCCTGTGGAATACTCATTAACAGAGGTGTCTATTTTCAATGCGAACTTGCACCACCAAGAGGTCACAGTCTCCAGGAATTATGTACAGAGCTCTGAGATGAAACTGGGTTCAGATGTAGTTTATGTTTGCTTGGCTTTGTTTCCTCCAAGTCGTTCCTTGAACAAGGATTTCTCTGTCAATCCCTGAGTCAGTTTATCGTGGCTTTCAGAGGAATATCGTAATGATGGGACGTTTCTTGGTCCAGTTCATTATAGTAGAATCATTCACTGCTGTTTCATTATTACTCAGATGACCTTGATATTATATTCTGCCAATACTAGAGCAAAAGTTACACAGTTTGTTTTGTTCCACTYGGCTGTCTACAGCTATTAGGTGCACTTATTAAAACAAACTGCACACATCTTTACATATTAATGATTTTAGTTTTTCTGTAGATTTATACACAATCCACAAATTGAATTACAATTAGAAAATTTGTTCAATTCTGATGAGTTGGAACTGAACAGACTTGAATTGGAAGAGTTGCAAATCTCTACAAAACAAGATAAAAACAAAAAGACTGTTGCCTTTTGTCAGTGTACTGTCGCATATTGATAATTTTTGCTCATCTGTAAGAACAAATTCACRATTGTCTGCAAATGCTTCTCCAAAGCCAAGAATACTTTTTAAAGGACCAGAACTTTCTTCCCCTTTACAAAGGACTTGATAACAGCGTCAAGGTGAGATTTAGAGGCAACCAAGGGCTCCAGGTGAGATTTAAACAACTTGAAATTTTACACAAGTATATTTTTATTATCACTAATGAACCCTCTTTTATATAACACCCCAGCTTGTTAATTTGTGGTTAAAATATATACTTCTGGGAGTATTTACAATATGACATATTTATAATACAATACCTTTTTAACCTTTCCTAAAATCTTACTCTATTGACGTTATTAGCAGTACTTAGTGGGAGTTTTGGTTTTAAAAAATGTTGTTCTTGTTTAAGTTATAGGCTGGATGAAATACTTAAGGGATATCTTGGAAATGTTATATAAAAATGATTAAACTCAAGCTGTGGACTGTAAAAATTATAGCTTTATAGGCCACATGCCTGCCTACCCTTCAATCACTGTCAAAGTGATAATTTCTACAATAATATGTTTCTTTTATTGTGAGATTCTAAACATCAAGTGCTGTTTAAACATTAAACTGAATTGTTTATGTTAGTGCTGTACTCAGCGTGTCATACATCAGGCCACCGTAATCTCTCATGGAATGTAAAATTCTGTCATGAATCATGGCTTGTATATCGGAAATTACTGTAATTTTGATTGGAAATTACAGGGCTCTTGAAATGTTTCTAATTATGATAGAATGTTAGAGCCGCTTCAAACCTGTGTGCTTCTTCAGATGTCTTCATTTACATGCCAAGGCTATGCATTAAGGAGAAGTGTCCTGTTCTCACTTCACCCACCCTCCCTGCACATTCTTGTTTTGACTATTTAGTCTAATTATGATGAGGATCTCTTATTTAAATATATATATTATCTTGCCTTTCTTTCTGAGTCTACATCTTTTTATTTTCCCCCTGACCTGTTCAATTACCAAGAATAATAGACTTCAGTCCTACAAGGGCCACACACTTTTCCCAAATCTCCAAACTGGAGAAACTACACATGTATTATAATAATCAGGTCAGTCTTAAAACAAAACAAASAAAAATTAATACTAAAGCTATTCAATACATATCAGTTAGTCCTTATCATCTGTCATTAAATTCAAATCTACCCTTTCCTTGTGTCCTTTCTGACTGTAGTATCTGTCATTAAATTCAAATCTACCCTTTCCTTGTGTCCTTTCTGACTGTAGCATATCTCCCTATGGTTAACAGCCCCTTTGCTACCTGTGACCTGATTCTTTTAAACGACACTCTAGATTCTCCACCCCTGAACTGAATTAGTGATTTTGGAACAATTCAGAAGGTGGTGGCAGTTGGCTAATACTAGGGAGCTTTTAAACATCCTTGCTCTTTGTTCCTGCCCTTGTAGATCCTCCTAAGCTGCTATTTCAGCAATGTCAGTGGGCAGCTTCTAAGCATCTGCCATGGTGGCCTATTTCCCAAGACCCCCGCCCCCCAAACTTGTAGCTGATCTCCTTCTGGTTGACTAATAATTCAGATTGCAGGCTTTGAGAGGAAGCGAACTGTTAACTTTCATTCCTTTCAGTAGTTATTCCTCATTTCTAATGGATTCTAACTTCCTACTTTGGGGATTTTTCTCTTAGCTGTTCAGTTTAGGTGTCAGTACTACTCTCTTTATGAAAACATGTACAAGGATTGATGAGTATCAAGACAGCCCCCCAAACAGTTTGGTAGCAGGAAATCTGATTAATAAGGAAAGGTGGTCATTTACTTAGGTTCTATTCTTCAACCATGATGTCATGTGAAGGAAACAAAAACCAACCCATCAACCAGCAAACAAATCTGCTTCAAATTGGACCGGCCTTTTTCATGTTCAGAATTTATACCTTCTAAAGTAGTTACTCATACCTCAGGTATATGTGCCAAGGCTTGTCATAGTGCAGTGCTCCCCAAAGATCCAGTTTATGAAGCGAGCAGTACCAGGGACACATCATCTCAGCCCATCTCCCTCCATCTGCTTCTGTGTYTCGCCCTGGTTGTCTGGGTTGTCCTCACAGTCAGCACCTCTTTCAAGCTAGACCCTACCCTGCAATTACATATTATCTACATTTAATTTAGTAACCCTGTGAGCTACTGTTATTTTCTTCTGCTTCTGCATAAGGGTCTCTGAGCTAATAAATAGTCGCACCAAATTGCACCTCTCCTACTGTTTTCCTGAGTGTTCAAGGCAGTTTCYGTACTGAAGTCCCACCCTGTCCTGGAAGTGAGGAATTAGGGACACTGGACTAGTTCATCATAGAAGCCGTGTAGGCTTTCCCTTCTTCATTGGCTCATTCATGRACTCTTGGAATCCAGGCTTTTTCATGCCCAATGGAGGTGAATGTGTGAGCTGTAAGAGTCACGGGAGGCTGGCTGTGGTCTAGGCTGTGTCCCTGGTGCCATGATATTGCAAGATTATTTAACTCTATTGAGCCCAAGGTTCTTTTAACATGGGAGGAGGTCACATACTACAATGTATGCAGAAGAGCTTTTAAATTAYACAGCACTGTACACAAATGGATAACATTTCATAATGTGCTAAGTAAGAGGTTCCATACTCTTCGTGGATAAGAGTGATTTATTTATCATGTATTTATGTATCTCAAATACCTTCCATTTTAAAAGGTAAGGCACACTCTGCTGTGACTAATGCACAGAATATTTTCAGTAAAAGAAACTCGTGTAGGTTCCATCATTTCACATGTATTATCTCTTCTCTTCAATGAATAATAGAAATGAGATTGTTTTTAACTCTAATAGAAATGTCTGAATAAAATATGCAAGTAAAAACTGAAGGTAGGCTACTTTCTGTGCTTGGTTAGGAAAGCAGGCTAATGCAAACTTTAAAAAGATGATATGCTTTAAACATAATGTGAATAGCTACAAATGAATACACTTTATATTCTGGGTATTCAAATAAGCAGCAGTTTTTCCAAGTGAATCATATTGGAATTTTATCAAACATTTAGTCTGATAACATTCAAATAATTATGAGAGCAGAATTTGCTAATTTTACTGTTTAAAAAAATAGTTGATTTGGGTAATAACCATTACGGTATCAAGGTTCAGTTACTGTTCATTGGTTATAGTGTTTTCATATGGGAGATGGAAATGGAATTTTTTCCTTAATAGTGGCAGATGTTGGAATCTAATTTTATTCCACAGCAAACCCCCTGAGAGCTCTGAGACTTAAGGTGTRTGTCCAGCAAGGGGACATTAGCAGCGCCGTAGGCCTTGCCTTGTACATCGAATTGTTACATTGATTTTCATGTTTGCCGGGGTGCAGTTTGCAGATACAGTTGTGTGGCAAGGGGTAAAGGGCTTTCGCAGAGCAGCACTACAGCACGACTTGTGTTTAGAAAACGACTCCTCTCTCGTGTTTTATTGAACAGGGTATTTCTTTTGGGTAAAGGAACTAGACGATGAAAATTTTATTTGACTGAATATACTTTCAGTATAATCTTTAGCAATCTCTGCGAGTTATAGGACTCTGGCCACTACAACTTCAGCTAGATCCATAGGCATGGTTTTTAACATACACACACACACACACACACACACACACACAGAGAGAGAGAGAGAGAGAGAAGAATAAAGAGGATTTCAAACTCTGCAAAAATTGCACAACTGGTAGAAGAAACCAAATCAAGTAAAATATTTTTTTTTCTTCCATCTCCTTTTTAGAAACACACACACACACACACAGAGAGAGAGAGAGAGAGAGAAGAATAAAGAGGATTTCAAACTCTGCAAAAATTGCACAACTGGTAGAAGAAACCAAATCAAGTAAAATATTTTTTTTTCTTCCATCTCCTTTTTAGAAACTTTAGTCTTTAAGGTTCACAGCCTCTCAATGAGCAAGAGAGGGGAGGTCAGGAGGAAGAGAGAACCAGTGCTCCTTGGCTTCAGAGGCTTAAAAAAAGAAAGGAAACATCGTTCTCACTTTTAGTTTTGGAAATTCTTAAATGATGACTGGAATGAATTAAATACAAGTAAATACATGTCACAAACCAGTGAGGCTAGGAGCAGGGCTTTAAAAAAAAAAATGTCATTTTTATTTCCAGGAATTGGAATCTATAGTGACAGAATCAGGTGTAAAATCTCTGGTGACACTATATTCTGTATTCCAGCAAGTTAGGTAGAAAGGCATCTTTTATTTGTTAGAGTTAACTTATACTTCACGCAAGCCACAATCTGATGCTGTGTGCTGATTCATTCTTTTGGAATGTAAGTGCGACAGACTTTGCTGCAACAGGAGCTCACCTGTGTAGCCTTCTATTTAAGGCACACAGGC